AGCGTTGGAACTATAACTCAGTGGCATAGCACTTACCAGCACGTATGACATCTGGGTTCAATCCCTAGTAACACACACACAGTAACAATATGGAAAGCAGCTATGCTTTACAAACAGTAACAATATGATGTGCTGAACTTATGTCACTTCACCTGGGGAAACCAAGAAGTTTGGATGAGGAACAAGATATTACTTAATGTAAAACATACATGTGTGTAATCTCAATACTCTGGGAGGCTGAAGCATGAGGATTACAAGCTTTTGCCCACACTGGGCAATTCGGTGATTTAGCAATGACATCTCAATATTTTAAAAAGGTCTCAGGATGTAGCTCACTGCAAAAGCCCTAGGTTCAATCTTTAATACTGCAAAAGAAAAACAAAACAAAAATGAAAAAGAAAACAAAAAACTAAGGAAAGTCTTGAAAAGTAAGAACTGTCACACTGAGGGGGTAAGATAAGAAAATACTAGGGGCCAGGAATATAGCTGAGCGGCACAGGCGCCTGCGTAGCAAGTGCAAGGTCCTGAGTTCAATCCCTGGTACCACCAAAAAAAAAAAAAGAAAGAAAGAAAAGAAAATACTCCACTACAAGTTCTGCATGTGCAGACACTTAACAAGAGTATGGCCAGAAAAAAAAAAAAAGAGTATGGCCAGATCAACGAAGTTAGATAAATCAGGACGAGTAGCACAGAAGAACTTGGGACCACAACTAGGCTAGAGAAACCTTTTTAAAATTAATTAATTAATTAGATACAGGGTCTTGCTATGCAGTTCAGATTCATAGTGATCCTCCTGTCTCAGCCACCCCAGCGAGGGGATTACAGGCATGTGCACTGTGCCTGGGGTTCCGGGGCTGGCACAGCATGCGGTACCCAGGGATCGAACTGGGGTCCTTGCACTTGCCAGGCAGGTGCTTAGACCACCAAAATATCTCCCCAGCTTGAGAAATCTTTAATATTGTGCAAAATCAGCTAAAAGTTTTAAGACTTCACGTGGGCAACACTATTAAAGATGGACTAGAGGGCAATTTGTGAATGAGTTACAGCAACAGAATTTCAAAAACAATGCAAGTCTAAATAGTAGACATATGGGCCGGGGAGAGAGCTCAGTAGATAAGTATTTGCCTGGCAAGCACAAGGGCCTGAGTTCAATCCCTGGTTCCACAAAGAAAATAAATAAATAAATAAATAAATAAAATAAATAGTAGACATAAAAGGATGGGAAATGGGCAGGCCATGGTGGCACATGTCTATAATCCTAGCACTTGGGAGGCTGAGGAATGAGGATTGCTGTGAGTTCAAGACCAGCTTAGGCTACAAAGTGAGTTCAAGGCCAGCCTGAACTGCATAGTGAGACCCCATCTCAAAAAGACAGAAAAGAAAAAAAATCCACCATATTCCTGATTTAAAAATATACAATTCGGGGCTAGGGAGCTAGCTCAGTGGCATAAGTGCCTGCCTGGCAAGGGCAAGGTCCTGAGCTCCATCCCCAGTACCAAAAAAAAATGTGCCTACAGGGCTGGTGAGATGGCTCAGTGGTCTAAAGCACCTACTTAGAACAAGTTTAGCAAAGCACAGGGACCACGGTTCAATCCCCCAGCACTACATGCCAGCCAGCCTGCACCCTGGTGGGCTGAGCTGGCCACACACACACACAC